CTTCTCCAGTTAAAGCTATCCCAAAAAAAGGGGGCCTCAGATGGGTGTGGTGGTACACACTTAGAATCCCAGGACTCAGAAGGATCACCTCGAGTTCAAGGATAGACTGGACTACACAGTAAGACCCATCTATATTTAAAAAAAAAAAAAAAAAGAAAGGGGCTTCAGGTCTTTTTTTAAATGCATTTTATTTACTTTGGTTTCTTTTTTTTTTTTTTTTTGTACAGGGGCTCATTAGGCAGCTAGGACTCATAGTGATCTTCCTGTTTTCTGCCTCGCCAGCACTGGGATTACAGGCCTGCACCACCACACCTGGTCTCGGTGGCTGGTTCAGTGCCCCTGGGGTGGGTTAGTGCCACACATGATGCCAGTGATCAAATCTCTGGTCACCTGCGCTTGCCTAAGAAGGTGGTTAGTCTACTGAGCTATCTTGCCAACCCTTCAGGTCTTTTTGATCTCAGAGACAAGAAAAATTTCCTCATGCAACAATTACAACAAAACCCAATAGACATATGAGGGATTTTTCACACCAGCTGCTGTTATTAATACCATCTTTAAAATATTCTACAGATACAAGGTCAATATTATCACTATACAATGACTACAATATAGCAATCACTTTATACTGGTATAATTAGAGATCCCAGGGAAACAAAAGCAAAGTAGATGCATGCCTGAGAGCCAATCATTTGGAACTAGTTTGGCTACCGGGCATGTTCCAGGATCTTTCCAATTTAAGATGGCTACAAACTTTACAATCGCACTTCAAAAATTTTTCAGCATTCGTCTTCTATCTCCTAGGAATTAAAGAAGTCAGAGACATGCAATGGTTGATGACCTCTATTTTAAGAGGGAGAAATAACTGTGGTCTTCTAATAACACTGCTCTAAGGCTGAGTGCCATTAAGTGCTGAAGGAATTTAGATGAAAAGCTCAATTTCAGCTGACCAGCAAAATTCTGTGGAAGGATTTTAAGACAGGATATTGACCAGCAGAGAAAGGAAGAAGGTATTGCAGGAGGGTAGCTGGTGTAAATTAGGGCACAAAAGAACATGGGCCCCAGCCCAGCCTGGTGGGGCACACCTGTAATCCCAGTACTCTCTGGGGCAGTATTGCTGCAAGTTTGAGACCAGCTTGGGCTACGTTGTGAGTTCAAGGGCTGCCTGAGCTACCCAGAGACCCTGTCTTAAAAGACAAACATAAACGGGCCCACCAGATAGCTCAGTGGATTAAAGCGCCTGCTTAGGCAGACACAGAGGCCAGGGGTTCAACCCCCCCCCCCCCCCCCCCCCCCCCCCCCCCCCACCCCCGCCCCTCAACCCCGCATGCGATGGCAGCCCCACCCCTGGGCCCCGCTGAGATGGCAATTGAGACTAGGTGATTGAGACTGGGTGTGGTGGCACTGCACCTGTAATCCCAGCTCTTGGGAGGCTGAAAACCAGGAAGGATCAGTACAAGTCGGATCCGTGAGGTGAGACCCTGTACTAAATATATTAAACAAACAAAGAACACAAAGAATACAGCCCCTAGGGCAGTAACACTTTTCCATACTGGAATCTTGGACAAGTCAAATTAAGGCCACACTGCAGAAACGAGACAATCTAAAAGGCCCCTTAAGGTAACATACTTAGCCACTGACAATCAGGGAGGCTCCTGGAATTAATGTTGCTTCCCGTTTTCTGACGCTCCCACATGCAGGTAAGTGGTCATTTAGTCCTTAGGAAATCATGCAATTTCTTGACCACTGAGAATACAATGCTTCAGATTCCAGTCTGCAATTAGATATAGTTTTTTTTTTTTGTTTTTTTTTGTTTTTTTTTGTTTTTTTGAAGTTCTACCTTAGGACGGAACTGCACAGATAACGCCAACTTTAAAAACTGATTTCCAAGTACCAATCGCAATATGAATACACAGAAATGATCCCTGTTACAAAAAAAAATTTAGTGGCTGCAAGCCGGGAACCCTGACATTGCAATCTGTTCAGCACCACAATGTCTAAATTCCTGCCAGCGTAAGACACTACAAAATCTCAGAAATAGCAGTTGCACGCTCAGCCCACCCTGCCTATACCAGAAGAGAAAAACAATGAACAAAACCTACTACAACTTCACCTTAGAAAGAACCAGCCATTACCATCTTCTCTGGATAGAAGAGTGACCTACATAGTCACCTCTGTGTGTTCCAGACCATCTTCCAAACACTGGAGGGAAACACCATGATAAACCCACAGAGTACATGCCTCCTCCTGCCCAGGCGACATCTGGAACTGTGTGTGGAAAATCTGCTCTGTCAGTTTCCCATTCTCCCAGGAAGCACCAAAAACGGAGGGAAAGCAACTACTTTGTTTTCCTAAAAATCCGAGAGCTTAAGGACCCAAATTCTCAAACATAAAATTCTAGGTTTCTAAGAGAATGAAGTTTCGGTTTTCCCTAAAGTACAGTTCTTTAGCCTTTACTCCTAAATTCCAGCTTTCGGATTACCGTAAACCACAGACTGTCCACGAACCTCCCTTTCGAACCCATCACGGTGGGGTGCTGTCACAGTTCCACCGCCGGGTCGGATGGTCTCACAGAGCGCGTGGGTTCTGCGACCCAGGTCCCCACCAGCCCCCACCCGCACTCGCGGGCTCAGCTCCAGTGGTCGCTCGCCTTCTGTCCAGGCCGGAACACGGGAGCCTCAAACTGCCCCCCTACTCCGCGAGGCGGGACTCAGGGCACTCACCCGGCTGCTGCGAGCCACGGACAGCCGGGCCGGCCGGCCGAGTGGTCCAACCGCACGCAGGCTGCGCCCCGCAAGCCGCCCGGAGGCGGCGCGCGTGGGAGGGGCCAGAAATGTTTACGGCGCGCGCGCGGGGAAGCCCGAGGCCCGGCCGGCTCCCGCGCGGCGTCGGGACCCGCGGGACC